GTCCCGTGGTGTCCCGTGGTGTCCCGTGGTGTCCCGTTGAGTGAGATCGATAGTGAGATCGATAGTGAGATCGATAATGAGATCGATACTGAGATCGTTACTGAGATTGATGTGGTGCCCCGAGGTGTCCCGTGGTGCCCCAACAAGTGAGATCGATAGTGAGATCGATAGTGAGATCGATACTGAGATCGATGTGGTGCCGCGGGGTGTCCCGTGGTGTCCTGTTGAGTGAGATCGATAGTGAGATCGATAGTGAGATCGACAGGTGACCCGTGGTGTCCCGTGGTGTCCCGTGGTGTCCTGTTGAGTGAGATCGGTAGTGAGATCGATGGTGAGATCGATAATGAGATCGATGTGGTGTCCCCAGGTGTCCCGTGGTGCCCCGAGGTGTCCCGTGGTGTCCTATGGTGTCCCGTTGAGTGAGATCGGTAGTGAGATCGATAGTGAGATCGATAGTGAGATCGATAGTGAGATCGAGAGGTGTCCCGCGGTGTCCCGTGGTGTCCCGTGGTGGCCTGTGGTGTCCCGTGGTGTCCTGTGGTGTCCCGTGGTGTCCCTTTGAGTGAGATCGATAGTGAGGTCGATTGAGTCAGATGTTGGTTCCCCTCCCCCTCTCCCACCCCCCCACAAGCTCCTTATTACCCGAAGGGTGGTTGCATAGGTCAGAGTGAGGGGGCTGAACCGAACGCTCATTCACTGTCCCTGGGTGCGTGGCTGAAGTGGAATTCCGCGATGCGGATTCTTGTTGTTGTTGTTGTTGCTGCTGCTGTTCTTGCTGTTCTTGTTCTTGTTCTTCTTGTTGTTGTTGTTGTTGTTGTTGTTGTTGTTGTTGTTGTTGTTGTTGTTGTTGTTGTTGTTGTTGTTGTTGTTGTTGTTGTTGTTGTTGTTGTTGTTTGTTGTTTGTTTGTTTGTTTGTTTGTTTTTTTGTTTGTTTGTTTGTTTGTTTGTTTTTTTGTTTGTTGGTTTGTTGTTGTCGTCGTCCCCCCCGCGACCTGCCCCGCGACCCACCCGCGACCCACCCGCGACCCACCCGCGACCCACCCGCCCGCGACCCACCCCGCGACCCACCCGCGACCCACCCCGCGACCCACCCCGCGACCCACCCGCGACCCACCCGCGACCCACCCCGCGACCCGCCCGCGACCCACCCCGAGACCCCCCCGGCGACCCACCCGCGACCCACCCGCGACCCACCCCGCGACCCACCCGCGACCCACCCGCGACCCACCCGCGACCCACCCGCGACCCACCGCGACCCACCCCCACCGCGCGCGACCCAAAATTTTCGGCGCCTCGTTCCAGGTGGAGAACCTGCGACCCACCCGCGACCCAAACCGCGCCCGCGACCCACCCGCGACCCACCGCGAGCCAACCGCGACCCACCCGCGACCCACCCCGCGACCCACCCAAAATTTTCGGCGTCTGCGGCGGGCTTCTGTTGTATTCGCTCCAGGTGGAGAACCTGCGTCCCACCCGCGACCCAAACCGCGTTCAGTGTACAAATCAAAATTTTCGGCGCCTGCGGCGGACTGTTTTTGAATTCCTGCCAGGTGGAGGTGGAGAGCCCGCGACCCACCCGCGACCCAAACTACGTTCACTGCACAAGCCAAAACTTCGACGCCTGCGGCGGGTTTCTTTTGCATTCGTTCCAGGTGGAGAACCTGCGATCCAAACCGCGTTCAGTGTACAAATCAAAATTTTCGGCGCCTGCGGCGGGCTGTCTTTGAATTCCTTCCAGGTGGAGGTGGAGAGCCCGCGACCCACCCGCAACCCAAACTACGTTCACTGAACAAGCCAGAAATTCGGCGCCTGTGGCGGGCTGCTTTTGCATTCGTTCCGGGTGGCCCACCAGCGATCCCCGAGCTGAACTTGTCAGAGCACGCAAATCGACGCCCGCGTCGCCCGCGCCCGCCCCCTCACTCTTATCCGCAATTTTGGGGTGCTACGGGTGTATCCATACCCACCGCCTGCCGAGGTCTCCGAAACTTGATCCTCCGTGCGGTGGTCATGTATAAATTCCCGCCTCGGAACCATGGCCCGGCCGATCTTGGGCCCAGGACCAGTGCCTACGCCTTCCTGGCTTGGCCAGGGAGGCGTCTGCAGCGATCTTGGACCTGGGATAGGCCTGGCTATGTCAATATCTGCTAATGGGAGCCTTGGGCGGCGACATTGAAATCAGCTCTTCCTGCATTTGGACCGCATTCGGGCCGCATTTGGCCTTTCCTCCTGTTCCTCCTCGTCCTGCCTGTTCCTCCTCCCCCTCGTTTTTCTCGTCTCCCTTGTAGAGGGGTGAATCCGGTCCAAGTCTGGCCCAACTCCGGTCCGAAACGTGTTCCAAGTCCGGTCCAAATGATGCCCAAATCGGACAGCGCCAAGAGCCACGTAGGCTTCCCAGTCGCCCGAGCTCTTGAGGCAGCGGCGTGCGGGATCGGTTCCTGCGTTCTCCTCGGCGGCGGAATGCGAACCCTACCCTCGCCGATCAACGGGGCGGGCAACTCCATGGGCGGCGGGTGTAGGGTTTGGAACTTGCAGAGCACATGACGAAATCCGAACTTGAACCCTACCCCTGCTTCCCATCGACGATGCTTGGTAGGAGCAGGGTTCGGATGTCGCCACCCGTCTTGGTTGAGAGCGCGGGGCGGGGTACCCCTGGGGTTCACAAGGAGGGCTCTCTCTCTCTGTGGGCCCGGCAGCCGAGGCGTGTTGGGCCGGCGAACGGGCCGCGAGCCTCTCGCGTCACATCCTTGTCGGGTGAGGGGAAAGCAGGGAGGATGATGATGAGGAGGAAGAAGAGGAGGAGGAGGAGGAGGAGGAGGAGGAGCAGGAGGAGGAGGAGGAGGAGGAGGGGAGGAGAGGAGGAGGAGAGTAGGAGGAGGGAGGAGGAGGAGGAGGAGGGAGGGAGGGAGGGAGGGAGGGGAGGGAGGAGGAGGAGGAGGAGGAGGAGGATGAGGAGGAGGAGGAAGGGGAGAGAGTAGGGGCGGGCGGGAGGGGAGGGGAGGGAGGGGAGGAGGAGGAGGCGGAGGAGGAGGAGGAGGAGGAGGAGGAGGGAGGAGGGGAGGAGGAGGAGGAGGAGAGAGAGGAGGAGGAGAGGAGGATGAGGGCGGGAGGGAGGGAGGAGGGAGGAGAAGAGGGAGAGGGAGGAGGAGGCAGGAGGAGGAGGAAGAGGAAGAGGAGGAGGAGGTGGAGGAGGAGGAGGAGAGGAGGAGGATAGGAGGAGAGGAGGAGGAGGAGAGGAGGCTGATGAGGATGATTAGGAGGAGGAGGAGGGGAGGAGGAGGAGGAGGAGAGGAGGAGGAGGAGGAGGGGGAGGAGGAGGAGGAGAGGGGCGGGAGGGAGGGAGGGAGGGAGGGAGGGAGGGAGGAGGAGGAGGGGGAGGAGGAGGAGGAGGGGGATGATGATGAGCATGATGATGATGATGATGATGATGATGATGATGATGATGATGATGATGATGATGATGATGATGACGAGGATGACGATGATGATGAGGATGAGGATGAGGATGAGGATGAGGATGATGATGCTGCTGCTGATGATGAATATGATGATACGGATGATGATCATGCTGATGATGCTGATGATGATATTGATGATGATGATGATGATGATGATGATGATGATGATGATGATGCTGATGGCGATGATGAAATTGCTGCTGCTGCTGAGGATGATGCGGTTGTTGATCATGATGATGCTGCATTTGATGATGTTGCTGATGCTGAAGATGCTGCTGATGATGATGAAGATTATGATGGGGATGATGATTTTGATGGCGATGATGATGTTGATGACGATGGTGATGATGCTGACGATGATGCTGATTGTGATTATGATGATGCTGATGGTGATGATAATGATGATTACTAAGATGGTGATGTTGATGATGCTGATGATGCTGATGATGATGTTGATTGTGATTATGGTGATGCTGCTGATGATGCTGATCATCATGATGATGCCGATTATGATGATGATGCTGCCGATGATGATGCTCATGATGATGATGACGATGATGGTGATGATGATGATGGTGGTGGTGGTGGTGGTTGTGATTGTGGTGGTGGTGGTGATAATGATGATGATGATGATGATGATGATGATGATGATGATGATGATGATGATGATGATGATGATGATGATGTTAATGGTGATGATCATGATGATGATGATGCTGATGATGATGATGCTGATGACGATGACGATGATGATGCATATGATGATGATGCTGATAATGCTGCTGTTGATTGTGCCGATGATGCTTACTCTGCTGATGATAATGATGAAATGAGGATAATGATGATGCTGATGATGATGCTGCTGCTGATGATGATGATGATGATGATGACCATGCTGCTAATGATGCTGTTATTGAATCGCTTCGCTCATTCCGCCGGCCCGTGATATGGCATCGCTGGTTTTTGTCTGTGTGTTCGTTGCCCATGTTGCGCTCTTGGGGGCGGGTGTCGTTCGGACGCGTTGCGTGGGGAGTTTTGATGGTGAAGCAGTTCCCTGGGGGTCGTCTCTCGATGGGGCGAAATAGAGTCGTCGTCAAGATGCTTCTTTGGGGGGCCTCTTGGGGTCTGTTGAGAGGCCGTTCGGGGGCGCCTGGGAGACATGTTTGAAGCCTTCTGGGGCTTCTTTTGGGCCTCCTGGGAGTCTCCTGGGGCCTCTTGGCGACATCTTGGGGCCTCTTGGAGGCCTCTTGGGGCCTCTTTGGGACCTCCTGGGCGCCTTCTGGGACGGAGGGCTCCATTTTTGAGTTCTCGGTATCCCTCCTGAGTCCCTCTTGGGCCCGTCTTGGGGCCTCTTGGTCCGTCTTGGGCGGCACTTGGGCCGTCTTGAGGGCTCTCTTGGGTCGTTTCGGCGCCGTCTTGGGAGCTTCGTGGGCCGTCTTGGAGCGGTCTTGGGGGCCTCTTGGGCCGTCTTGGAGCGTCCGGAAGCCGAAAAAGCCAGAACACAAAAAACATCGAAAAAACCAATGAAAATCAACGATTTTGGCC